AACAATAAACCGTTCGACAATAAGCACAGCTCCAAAGGGCTTCTTTCAAGTGCTTATAAGAATGTTTAAGATATCTTTTTTTAATAGTTTTTTCACACAATTCACAATACATGTATTGGCCTTTTGTAATTTCGAGCAGTCTGGATCCTCCGAAATAATATCCGATCAGTCTTCGAGTGTTGATTTCTTTTCGTTTTAACAAACTAATACGCCTCCTATAAATCAGTGTTTAAAGGAATTTTTAATTTTTTATACTTCTTTCCGAAGATTTTTCTTAATGTCTTGGTTTTGTTTCCCATTCTTGAATGTTTTTTTAAAGAACAATTTGTTGAAATAGAGCAGTGACTGAAAAAAAGCTTTAATTGAAAATCGATGGATTCGCAATATTTAAGCAATTTAAAATTGAAACAAATAAAATGCTTCAGCTCAAAACTGAAGCACAGAAAATACTTAAAATTGAATCACATAAAGTGCTTCAGCTCAAAACTGAAGCACAGAAAATACTTAAAATTGAAACAAATAAAATGTTTTTGCTCAAAACTGAAGCACAAAAAATACTTAAAATTGAAGCACATAAAATGCTTCAGCTCAAAACTGAAGCCAGAAAATACTTAAATAAAAATTGAAACAAATAAAATGCTTCAGCTCAAAACTGAAGCCAGAAAATACTTAAAATTGAAACAAATAAAATGCTTCAGCTCAAAACTGAAGCACAGAAAATACTTAAAATTGAAACAAATAAAATGCTTCAGCTCAAAACTGAAGCACAGAAAATACTTAAAATTGAAACAAATAAAATGCTTCAGCTCAAAACTGAAGCACAGAAAATACTTAAAATTTTATCACATAAAATGCTTCAGCTCAAAACTGAAGCACAGAAAATACTTAAAATTGAAGCACATAAAATGCTTCAGCTCAAAACTGAAGCACAGAAAATACTTAAAATTGAAGCAAATAAAATGCTTCAGCTCAAAACTGAAGCACAGAAAATACTTAAAATTGAAGCAAATAAAATGCTTCAGCTCAAAACTGAAGCACAGAAAATACTTCAGCTCAAAACTGAAGCAAGAAAATACTTTAATGGAGAATTCAAATATATTTCAAGAGCACTTGAATTTTCATTTATATATCCTTTCTTGTACATTTTTATACAATAATTAAATCAATTTTGCAATTTAATAAATTATTTTATATATAGTAAGATTTACTTTAGACTTTTTTAGCTTTTAATTTTAATATTAGCTTTTACAATTTTTTAAAATTATATTACTTAAGTAATAATATGATTTTTGGGAATATTTTTGGTTTTTATAAACATTTTTTCTCAAATTTTATAGTACATAGTAATTTTCCTTTAAAACTTTTATTTTTTCTACTCTCTACTTTAATTACAGCTTTTCCCATTTAATTTAAAATACATTAAGATTTTTAAAAAAAATTTTACTCCTTTTTTTTTGAGAAATTTCTAGTCAGACTTAATATATTTATTTAATTGCTTTTTTTTAAGTAAAATGATTTTTGGTGTTATTTTATTAGCTGCAAGGATTTTTTAGTTTTTGTCAATTTTTAAGTGTTGCGAAAAAACAATTTTTGTTGACATACTTTTTAAAATTGCTTCCCTTCTCATTTTTTTATTTTTCTAGTCTCGTTACTAATTTTTATTTTTTCCTTTATAAAAATTTTTCTTTTAGATATTTTAGATTTTAACTTTTAACTTTACATTATTCAAGCTTTAGGAGATAAAATAATCTTAAAAATATAATGGCAAATAATGAGTACTAATAGATATTTCTTTTCGAATTACTAAGAAACCATGTTTACTTAAATGTCAGATTTAAGCATTAAATTTTGTCTTTAAACTAGTTATTGACAGACTTTGGATCGAAATGTTCTTAACCTATTCTCATAAAAAATTTTATTTTGCTATTGCCCTATAGGTTTAGGTTTGTTGAATTTGTTTTTATTTTAAATTAGTTGGATCGAAATGTTCTTAACCTATTCTCAATTGTAGATATTTCTTTATACTGGGGTTTTAAAATATTTTTGTTAAAAAATGTTTTAAAACTCCGGTATATACTACTATCAACTTCATTTCTAATAATCCAATTTCTTTTGCAAATTTGTTTCTGATATTATTATTTTTATCAATTCGCTCTATACCCTTTTAAAATCATCCATTAATTTCTCAGTTTCATCTTTTAAATTTTTTTTAATTTTCTGTTGATTTTGTTGATTTATCTGCGTATTAATTTTACTTTCTAACGCATTCGAACGACTTTTTTGTTTTACTTACAAGACGATGTTTTTGAAAAATTTTTATAATTTTAACAGCATTAAGTGTGTTTCTATATGTATTTCTTTATGATCATTCTGAAACTTATTTTATTTATACATTTTAAATTCAACGTTTTAGAAATTACCTCCACAAATTTCTAAATGGTACGCAGGTGTAGAATGTTACATAGTTGTAGAATCTTCTATTTTATTCAGTATTGTATTTGTAACTTTATTATTACATAAAAATAACCTTTTTTCAATTTTATACTTACATAATCATTCGAAAATAATTCGAAAACACATTATTTTATTTTTAACATTAATTTATGTTCATTATTTTTAACTAATTATTGAAAATTTAATTATATTTAAATAAACAATGTTCAATATTGAATCATCTGGGTCAGCCTCGTGTGCTGAAAACATTTTAGAAGTTAATATTAATTTTATTACTATTTAATTTTTAATAATCTATTTAATTTTATTTTTAAATATAAACAATAAATATCGTTTTAATAAATCAAAGTATTGCTTCCAATATAGTGATTTATTAAACTCAAAGCTATATCAAATCTTTTATTAGTCATATGAAACGTGTACGTGTTTACATTTTAAGGTATGTTTGTGGGTTTAAGCACAATTTCTAGATAGGTTAGGAAAATATTTAGTTACTATTAATTATTATACTAAATATAAGAAATATGTATTTCAATAATTATAACTTAGTTTTTTCAAAATATTTTCTATCTCAAATATATTTATTTTTAAAATAAATAAGTAGATTATTTTATAATCAATCTTTTTAAACGTAATTATACTTAATAAACGTCGATAATTCTTCTAATTTTATTTTTCAAAAATAATTCGCTAATGTAATATTGCTAGACTAAGCTGTTATAATTTTCCTTATCGTTAATTATCACTGTAGTTTTTCTTTTATTTTTTAAAGCGAAATATATGAATTTGATAAAAAAAATACTGTGCTTTCTTAACAAATGCCAAAATTTGATACTCTTGTAATTAAGTTCTACTTATGCATTTTCTCTTAGATTCTTTTACAAATTCACTATTTAAAGTCTAATAACAATTTAAAAAATAGTTGATCTGTTATTTACAAAATTAAGTTTCTTTTTTTTCTTTTTTTTACATTTCTGTTGAGTTTTTAATAATTTTACATATTATTAATTATATAATTTTTTTTAATCTTATACTTACATAATGATTCGAAAAAACATTAATTTATTTTTATTATTTTTAATTGATGTTCATTATTTTTAAATAATTATCGGAAATTTTATTATATTTAAATAAACTATGTTTAATATAGAGTCATCAGGATCGAATACATGTGATGAAAAATTTTAGAATTTAAGATTTAATATTATACTATTTTATTTTAAACATTCTTCAATTATATATAAAATAGACAGTAAATATTATTTTAATAACTCAAACGTATTAAAAAACATGTATTAAAAAAATTTAATTTTTATATGTTATTTACTTGAATAGTTATTTTAAAAATTTTATTTTTAAAAAATATTATGTTGAAAAATTATCTTTTGCTGAATTTCTAGTCTTTTGCTGATTTAATGATTTAAATTTTAATCTTTTTATTTTTTTAAACAATAAATTGTTAAATACGCAGCAGTGTGATTGTTGCCTCTCAGCTGCGTCGAGAATTTTTGTAATTAATGAAAATTTTTAATTGGAGAATTTGCAGAAGAATGTCTTCGAAGCAGATGCTATTTTAATAGAAGTAATTTAAAAAGTATTTTAAATTTACATAAATTCTATTAGTTTTATGTACTGCAACTATATATTTTATTAGGATTTTCGGCACCTTATTTCTCCAAATGAAGATATGAGATAAAAATCTGACGTTGTTTTATTAATACTCCAAATAATTATGTTAATCTTACAATTATTCATAAATTTTCATTATTAAATGTGTATATAAAATCGTTAATTAAAATGGATATTATATTTGATAAATTGAAGTAATAGTCATAAATGTATCAATTAGTCAAACAATTTTAATCACCGTAGAATCAAAATCAAGCATTCAAATAATTGTAACCTGAAAATTTCTAGCCATTATTAATTATAATTTTGAACCTATGTGTATTATATTTTTAATTAATTACTTTACTTTTGCACCTAACTAAATTTAAAAATTTTACGAGGCAGCATTCTCTTATTGTACATCAATTTTTATCAAATACTTATTATTTTTCAAGGAATCTCGGAAGTTTTTTTAAAAATATCACCAGAGCATATATTATTGTAAAATTAGTGTTATGTCTCATTTAGCATTCATCCCCTTGTTGATATTTATGTAGAGATAATTAGTTATTTTTAATTATTTGCAAATTATTTTTAATTTTTTATAAAAATTTAATTATTGTAATATTAGTATAAAGGATATAAACTTATTTTAAAATTAGATTTAAAAAAAAAGATCATATAGTCGTGTCGTTACTCGGTAAATCTATCTGAAGTTCACATAAAGCCGTTTTCCAGTATGTACTTTTATTGCTAATTCATATACATATAAACCGATTTCTGTCAATAATATGCGAATCCTAACAATGGCTTAGTTAAATTAAAATTAATTGAATTAATATTTATAATTATTATTTGATTTAATCGTTAATTATAAATAGTTATTTTATATTTTCAATTTTTAATATTTGAACATTTTAAGTAAAGTTATTGTTGATATATATACAAGCAAGTGGTCAATGGGGAATGGGCTAGGAAAAGGTCTCTCACTACGGAGGTCTCTCGATAAGGAGTTAAAAATAGGGAAATAAGTTTGGGTTTATATACAAGAGAAAATGGGCGGAAAAATGTGGGTGGAAAAGGGCAAAGTAAAATGATGATAAGTAAAAGGTAATTGTGTCGGGTATTTGAATATATAAAAGGAAATCTGAAATATGGGAAATTAACATAAAAATAAATTGATGAGTGTAAAACAAAGGGAAAATTTGAATGTCATGAAAAGGGCAGAAATATTAATATAAAAAATGTCTATTAAATTTAAATATATTTTTTGTAATCATGGACATACAAAAATTATTTATCTTCCAAAGACGACTTGCTTCAACGGATTAAATTTGTACATAAAATTTGTTATGTGGAAACTTTTTAATTTTCACATTTTTAATAAAAATTAATTTTTTTAAATAGCTAATCGTAAATTTATTATATTTATGTTAAATTAAACGTGTTTGAAAACCTGTTCACAAACATTGCATTAAGTATGTTGAAATTTCTTATTTTATTTATATAACTATTCAACTTTATTTTTATTTTGTGTTTATATTATTATTTTTTTCATTATATTGATATATGATAAGATTCACATCTAACTCCGCATCTGGGCATGATCGTAAAATTATATATTTATTCCTGATTCTATTTTTAATTTTATTATTTTTATAATATTTTTAATAATAGCTCGATGATTTTTTCTAAATATATTAAAATTAACGCCTCAATGGCAGGAGATTCACTTGTATAACACACTACTGATACATATGGTTTATAATCGAGTTAATTTAAATTTATTTTAATTTGTCATAGAATTATACTTATATTTTGTAGTGCCTATATTTTTAGAAGTGTTTTTCATTGCTTAAATATATCAAATAAAATTGTGGAAGTGTGTTATTTATCATGTGCGAGTTTATTTTTTATATGTCTATTATTTGTTAACAAGGTCGTAATAATATTTGTAATTTATAATATTTATTATAATGTCTGATGTCGTCTTTTAATATAAGCATTATTCACAAAACTTCTCTAAATTTTCTATAAGGTTGTTGCTAATTACATAATAATATACATAATAATACTGTTGCTCACAATATATCAAATTGTCAACAATTTGAAATTAAAATTTATTTAAATTTATATTAAAAATTTTATAATTTTAATTTATCATTAATTATCAATGTAGTTTTACCATTTTTAAATTTTTGTTAATTAGCTAAAGTTGCTGTGCTTTCATAACAAATGCTAAATTTATACTCTTCCAATTAAGTGAATTTTTAAGCAATCTGTTTTAAAGCTCTACTTTACAAATTTACATTTAAAAGCCATACATATAAAAATTTTAGAAGATAATTTATCTGTAAAATTTTAAATGTTAGTTAAATAGATTAAAGATGCACTGATTATTGCAATAAACAAGTTGTGTAGATTAAAAATAAAATTTATGTATTTTAAAAATTATAAATTAAATGAATTATAAAAAATCATTTGTATAATTTTTTTATATTCATTATATTTTTAGCATTTTTTAATCTAATGGATATTTATTTTCTCGATAAATTTCAATTTAAATTTTATCTAACCAATTTAATTAGGTAATATTATCGAGAATATTTCAAATTTCTTGCTGGATAATTTATATTCTTCTAGCGTATTTGTAATTTGATTTAATATTTTTATATTTGAGGTTTACTAATTTTATAGAAGCATGTGTATATCTAAATTGAAAAATCTGCCTTCATGTAATTAATTTTTATCAAGTAATATATCATACAATATAATTATAGCCTTGTCACGTATTTTTATCAATTTACTTCAAATTTGACATTTCATTATATACTCTCGTGTAAATTCTATGTTTAGTATTCGCTCTTGCATTTATTATTAAAATAAATAATCATAAATAAAGAAAATAATAAATTTACTAACATCAATCTTTAATCAATTATAGTTAAAAAATTATATACGAATTAAATACATGAACATTCCACATCTTCCAAGGCACTTAGCCTTAAAATAGCTTCAAAATTTTCAATTTAAGATTTCAAAATATTTATTTTTAAAATTCTAACAATAAATTCTTTAGTCAATTTATTTTTATATGATATAATATTTTTCCCACTAAATATGTATGTATATTGAAATTAAAAACAATTTCATTCCACAATGGTAAAAATTTCTTTAGTCTTCAAATTTTACATTGCCGTGTAAATCAAGATAATATTTATTTTTAGAATACTAAAAATAATTTTTAGTCAATTTATTTTTATATCAATTCTTTAGTTTAAATTTTATAACCTATTTAATATAGAATATTCACTGTTTGTGGAGATTATTATGTTTCATGTTTGGCAAAATTTATGAGGTTAATAGTCCTTTTAGACTTTCTCCTTCATTTTAAATTGTTGAATATGAAGATCATTATGTTAGTTACATATTTGCAAATTCTACTTATGTCATGACTGCTTTCAATAAATTTGATTTTCCCATGATTATATTATTCATATGTCTAGATATTTTCAATTTAGATAAAAATTTCTTTAAATATAATTTATTTTTAATATACAACTTCATAAAAAATGAAGAATTACTTCTAAAATACACTAAATTTAATTTCAATTTAATTTGTTGTCTTCATAGAAATGGTATCCTTGTACAACTAATAATTTTTATTTTTTCTAATGAAGTAATTTAAAAATTTTATTTATAATAATATTTACTAATTAATAAAAACGATATTTTTAATCTTTTATTTGTAGCTGAATATATTTTATCTTAAATAATTTGTTACAGACCACAGGTTTTAAAAATATTTTTTGAATATTCTAAAAATTTAAAATTCTTTAATTAATAAATTATGTAAATTTAATAAAATTATTTATACAATAAAAATATATTTTAATAAAAATTACAACATAGTCTTTGATTTATTTACAATTAGAATTAATTTTATTCAAATTTTATCAATTAATTTTATCAGTTCAATTTTTTAGTCAAGTAAACTTAAAATTTTTTTAATATTAAATAACAGACGATAATTGTAGACGATAAAATACTAACAAAAAAATTTTTTTAATTTTTATCGAATTTTATTTCAATTTTAGTTTATCTATAATCAGATAATTTTTTTATCTGTTTCCGACGTGGGAAGTATTTTGTAAGAATCAAATAAATTTTTAGCCAACTTTTTTAGAAGAAGCTCTTTTCTGTTTAATACATTTATTAAAATTATGAGGGATAGAGGATTAAGTTTAACTAAATTTGGGTAATTAAATTAACATTCTTATAATTTTTTAAAATTTAACATAAAATTACGTTTTGTAAAGATTTGTAAAACATTTTAAGAAGAAGCTTCTAGTAAATTTATTACTTATAATATTTTTAATTTGTTGTTACGAATTCAGCTGTTCTGAATTCAGCTGCTTTTGTGATGAACGGTTGTGACGAACTTCTCTTTGCTCTTAGTAGAGTTAGCTTATATGTATTTCAATAAATTTCCTTTTCAAATTTCTCAGTTAAAATTATATGTCAAGTATAAATTATAATTTAATTTAAAATTTTAACCAATTTAAATGATGATATGTGTTATGATATGTGTTATCTGCTTTTTGTAGCCTTAATAATATTTTATCATCTGATTTTTGCTGTTTGGTATATTATTTTTATTTTAATAAACATTTTATTTTGATGTTTTTTTTATTTTATAAAAACAATTTTAATAAAATTTGATTTTTATTAAATTTGTTATAGAAACCATATCCTTGTACGGTAACACATTTTTATCTTTTTACGTTAGTTATTATTTAATAATTTTTACTTTATTATTTAATTTTGAAAATTTAATAGTTTGAAAAACATGCATTTATCATTTTAACTTTCTCAATAAAAAACATATTTATCTAAAAATAGTGAATAATGTTTGATAATATGTAAATAAAATATGCTACCTGTACTATAACTGATTTTTGCTTTTTACATACGATAGTTATTATTTGAAATTTTTATATTTATTAATTTAAAAAATTAATGATGAATATGTAAGCGTTTTTTATTTCACAAATCATAAGACATCATTAAATGTATAAAATATACATTTATTATATTTTATAAAATTGTCGTAAAATTTGTTCTGAGATAAACCGCTTGTAGCTTAAATAATTTTTAACAATCTGCTTCTTGATGTTTAGTACATAGTATATCATTTATTAATTTACTAAACATTTTATTTTGATGTTTTTTTATTTTATAAAAGCAATTTTAATGTAATTTTAATTAAATTTGTGTGTGTCTGATGTGTCTGAATGAAAATTAAAAATATTTTATAAGGGCTGTTTATAATTTAAACAAAAAATTTTTTATAATTAAACAAAAATTGTTAACAAAAATTATTTATAATACAAAAACTGTCTATTATTTAATTTTTTAAATATTTTTAAAATAAATTTTACAGGTAATACCAATTAGTTGGGAATAGTGCTGAAATTATATATAGTGAAGTTAAAATTTCACGAAAATTTCTGAGCTTAATGATGGCGATTTATGTTTTATAAAACTTTTACGTGCCTCTATAGTTCAAGGAATTTATCATGATAAATTACTTGACAAATGGCATAAATATAAAGAGGAAAATAAAGACGACGATGCAATTAATAATCCTCCACCTCTAAATGAAAATAATAAATATTGTCTCTTGCTTATGAAAAATGGTGGCATTACTTTTCAAAGTTTTTTGAAAAATATGGTATTTAATTTATAATTTGAAAATAATTTTTTGGCTGATTACTGGGGCTGGTTAAGTGACTGTTTATTTGGCAGTTATATTTACATATTAATTATATAGATACATATCCATCAAATTTTCTTAATCTATAGAGAATCAAAAGTATTATAATCTATAGAGAATCAAATTTATTATTTCAGTAATTTCTATTATTAATCTAAATTTTGATAATAATATACACGACACAACCCGCCCTAGTAATAGCTTATTATTACTAAATTTTATGAAGATATTTGTAATTTGGTATATATCTTCTGTTTTAAGATTGAAAGTCTCTCGGAATGCGGTTCATTATTCTTCCAAGTGCTATTTTCGTTAGCAGCTGCTGAAAAAATTTGAATTTGAGCATCGCGATTTACATATTGGGAATATATTAATTTATTATAGTGATTCTGGTAAAGAAAAATGGGAGGATGAGAAGAGGTATAAAT